TTCAGTCTTGAACGTGTGGATGGTTTTAGTGAGAAATAACTTAAGGTATAACCAAAGATCTAAATATATTTTAAAAAGGAGGGGGGATTTAGAGGGAAAGCAGAAGATATGGAGAAACTCTTACATCACAGAATTCTAAACAGCATAATTATTCATTCATATGTGTTATGCTATTTTCTTTTAGAATTTGAAATTTGCAAAATGCTTAAAGGGAGTAAGAAGTAGTAGACAAAAAGAAAGAAAGAAAGAAAGAAAGAAAGAAAGAAAGAAAGAAAGAAAGAAAGAAAGAAAGAAAGACATGAGGTCAAGATCCAAAAAGAAATATAGCTAAATCTAGTTTATACCTGTACCATTTGATGCTCATCTCCCAGATGCAAAGAAACTGCTGAGATCCTCAAGACAATTCAGCCATCACCAACAGTGACGAATTGGTGATGGCAAAAAGGAGGCAGGCCCTTACACAGGTAGTAATGAATGAGGTGTTTGTTTATTTATATTTTTGCCCTGCTTTTAGTATTATTTTTTTAAATAAATAACTCTAGATGGCGAATATATATGGTATAATCCTCCTCCTTTTCTCCACAACAACAACCCTTGAGGTGGATTGGGCTGAGAGAGAGAACGACTGGCCTGAAATTACCATCTGGGCTTTTATGTCTAAAATGGTACTAGAACTCACTGTCTTCTAGTTTATAGCTTGGTATCTTAACCACTAGATATGAAGGGGAAAAGTCCAAGTTCCATGTAATGAGATGATCAGGTCCAATCCAGTGGTGGGAAACTGAGGACAACTGCAGGGGATAGGATTGCTGGGGGTGGATGTAGAGGAGTGGGAAAAATAGAGGAATAATACAGAAACATAATGTGCCTGCTAACACTTCTTGTCATGTCTTAAAGCCAAGTTTTCTTCTCAAACTGGCATTTTAATTAGATTCTGTTTCCAAATTTTGATCAAAGTTACAGCTAAAAAAAACCAGAATATCTGAGTTTGCATAGTAAATATTGAGTAATGAAAGAAATGTAAAGACACAAGGTCAGGTTTTTTTTGCTGTGAATATATCGTTTTCTAGGCTAGAGATGGAGGATGCAGTGCAGATTGTTCTTGGATAATTGCCTCCAAGAATTAGAAGAGGACACAAATAACTATGCTTGGAAAAGGAAGTATTCACCGGCCTCTGCATTTTAGTTCAGAATGCAAGTAACAGTGTTATAAAATAAGAGGCCCTATAAGAAAGGGATATCAAGCTGTTAAATTGTTTTACAATCTGGTGTAACCTCAGCAGACACACACTTCTGCTTCACTTCTGCAGGATGCTTCATGTGATCCCAGGGAGTTACTAGCAGAAGAAAGGAGTGAGACAGTTACACTTCATTCTCATAGTTCACATTCAGTTTCCCCTGGAAATTTAGGAGGGAACTGAGGCTAAAGGTGAAGGTGATGTAATGGTATGGTTGGGAGACAGGAAGAATGGCTGCAGACTAGGCAACACTGAATTCACAGAAAGAATTGGAGTCTGGCATTTCAGAAGGGACTTAAATGTGAAAGTAAGGGAAGAAGAGATGTGGTTTCAGAGTTGCAAGATTCTGTTACTATAACCTAAAGATAGAGCTGGTACTCTTGTCTGGAGTATCTCACAAAGCTGACATCTGTCTCTTAATACCTGATAGTATTTCTGGTCCTCATCATAATTTCCTGCCGAGAAGTTCCATAGGCATCTATTTAGCTTCTTATTAGATATAAAATGCTACTAAGAGGGAAGCAGTCTGAGTTTTGGATTCAAAGACCCCTCAAACCCAAGCACTACAGACTTCTTGTTAGCATTATTAGATGTTAACAAGTTTAAATGATGTTCTAATGATAATCCTGAAAGATAGCAATAGCAATAAAACTTAGACTTATGTACCGCTTCATAGTGCTTTTACAGCCCTCTCTAAGCAGTTTACAGAGTCAGCATATTGCCCCCAACAATCTGAGTCCTCATTTTACCAACCTTGAAAGGATGGAAGGCTGCGTTAACCTTGAGCTGGTGAGAATCAAAGTGCTAGCAGTTGGCAGAATTAGCCTGCAATGCTGCATTCTAACCATTGTGTCACCATGCAGATAACTGTGCTCCAAATTTATTTCTGAATGTAAGCGATACTACATGATGGGAGTTTTAAAGGTAGATGGAACATCTAGAATGGACATTATCCATTTTCACACAAATGCCTGCATGTGATATGATTAGCTTGCAGAGGATCCTTAATTATTTATTAGAAGCATCTACCGTATATTATGAGAAATCAGCTACAGTATATATAATACTTACTTTCTGAAGTTGATTGGGCTGAAGAGTGAAACAAAGCTTCTCCAAAATTGTTGTCTATTGTTTTATATTAAATTTTGCCTCTACAGGGTCACTATGAACTTTGTTTCTATATAAACATCACAGAATTTCCAGGAAATTTGAGTATAAATAGTACAGTTTTCTTATAACAAGCACGTTTTAAATAACACTATTTACAACAAACACTATTTGTTGGCTGAAATATGTATGAAATATGTTTCTGAGGTGTCTTGCAGTTATATTAATGCTGCTCTTTTATACTCATTGCATGCAGTAGAAAATTATAAAGGACATTTTAAAGGATATTTATCTTTGTGAACTGTTCCATAATATTTCTGTTTTCCGAATCATCTGAACAGTATGGGTTTTTTTTGGCATTGCATTATGCCAGTAGACAGTTCATCTCCTCTAAAAGGCTTCCTTATCTAGCAATGGGCAAGCGGTAGTTAGTAATGAAGTTATGTAAAAATATTCCCCACTAGGGAATAATAACCTTATTTAGAGAGTGGATTGTCATTATTCTGATTTGTTTCTCCTGAAATATTTCCACACTATTTCTGTGTATATATGCCTGTTGCCATAAATGCAGAGTTTTGGAACTATATTGATAATAATCCTTTACTGATTGCAATGGCTATTGGATAACAATTCTTAACATTTAAAAATCTAGCAGTTTAAACAAAAATGACACAGACACCCTGAACGTTTTAGAGATATCTACCTATATATCATCAGGATTTATTTTTTGTTTTCTAAATGCTACTTGAACACCACCTATAATGATGTTCTCTGTGTGAATAAAATTTAAAACGTAAGATTTAAAACAGCAAAAACAAATTTGCAGCAACTATATAAAAGAATAAAATATGAATCAGGAAAAACTCACCCACCTGTGAACTAAATATTAATACTCCAATCCTACTTCTTCAGGGGCTGTAGGATTAATTAGATGCATGCAAAATATAGATATTGGAAATAATATGTATAATATTGGGGGGGAGGCATTTTTAAAAAGCAGTTCACAGAAAATAGTTCAGATTGGATGCTGTACCATTGATAGATTGTGTGGTCCACTGTAGTGGAACCCACATATAGAAAACATCCTAGCCTTAAAAAAACACAGACTAACTTTTGAACAGTTCATCTGTACTAACTGAGAATTCAAAGACATATCATGGACTCATCATATCAAGTCATCAGCTGCCCACACCAATTCCTCCGCTGCAAACTTCTTGTAGCTTTTAACAAACTTGAGGCAGGACCTTCTCACAATCTTTTTCCTCCTTGATGGCTGTGAGTAAAGGCTTCAGCTTCTGCAGACACTGCTGTTGCCTGGGCTCCAGGGAAAGTGTTTGCTTGGCAGTTTTCAATTGCCTGTGCAGGAGTCAAATAAGGATTTTCAACATGCCTCTTTCGAGTTGAATATCCCATTCTGAGATCATTTTACCTCTGAACCAGGGATGAAATCCAGCAGGTTCTGATAGGTTCTGGAGAATTGGTAGTGGAAATTTTGAGTAGTTCGGAGAACTGGCAAATGCCACCTCTGGCTGGCCCCCAGAGTGGGGTAGGAATGGAGATTTTGTAATATCCTTCCCCCAGGAGTGGGGAGGGAATGGAGATTTTGCAGTATCCTTCCCCTGCCACGCCGACCACACCATGCCCACCATGCCCACCAAGCCACGCCCACAGAACCGGTAATAAAAAAAAATTGGATTTCACCACTGCTCTGAACATTAGATCTATAGAGCTCCCAGCTTCACAAAGGTGGCATTTTTCTCTAAGAGTTCTGGGGAAAATAAACAAAAATAAAAGGAAAATTTGTACCTGCTGTCTTATTGTAAGAAATTGCCAAAATTGGAACTATTCCAAAATAAGGCTTCTCCTGGATGTTCAGTCACATTGCAATGGAGAAAGGGCTTTTCCTAGTGTCTCATTTGCTTGTTAGGAAGACTAGTGTATTTTTCAAAAGCTTTCTCCCCTAGATAATGCAACATGGCAGTGTCGTAACCCTTCGAGTCTTCCTCAGTAACTTATAATCTTTCTTTCCATTTCCTCTAGTTTTCTTCGAGGTATGGATCAGAGGGAGGTTAAAATGTCCCACCTTTCCTGCCGATACAGGGTTGGGTGGCTTCTTCAGGTGGTAGGAAGAAACTGGTGCATTTCTAATGGGCTTACAGGCAGGGGTGACATTATCCCGAAGCCCTCTGCTCCCCAACACACTCCAGGCCCAATCAAGTTCACAACAGGTTCCTGCAGCAACCGTTTACCCAGAGAAACCAACCAACTGAAGTGTCTTATGTAATTTTGCCTCAGTTCTCAAGCCCCAAAAGGGAGAGGAAGAAAGAAAGAAAGAAAGAAAGAAAGAAAGAAAGAAAGAAAGAAAGAAAAAGATACTGATGATAGTGGTTGTGTCTTCTTTTCTAATTCTCTCTACATGACACTGCACAATGTCTGCCCCTTGTTTATTCCCTCAACATTTCCCTGAAAGACTCCAGAGACAGTACTAGGAAATTAATATGGTAGCTGTCAGCAATGAGGCTTGCCATCCTCCCACCCACTGTTTATTAATGCTTCTGGTGCATCTAAAAATAAAATATGAGGAGAGGGAAGAGGAGATTTCCTTACCAGAACAATCAAGGGAGCAGGACAGACCAGAATTGAAACCACAGAGCACCAGGAAGGCCTTTTGAATTCCCCTTTTTGCCTCACCATTCCAATATAAGAAGCCTTGATCTGAGGTAGGGATGCTCAGCTTGTACAACTCTATTTGACTGAACAAAAAAATCATTAACAAAACAATACATTTATAATATCTTTTCCTCACAGTCATACTGACAGGATTGCATACACAGGGTTGTACAATTAAGTGATTGCGCTGATGATCATCCTTGCCACCATCATCATCCTCCTACTTCAAAATATTTTCCGCATAACAGTGTATCTGAGCCCAGCAAGGGATTACTGGGTCTTATTATATTTGCCTTTAATTTCCCATGTAGTAAGTCAGCTGCTCAGGTTTCTCTCCCACCTCCCCCCTTAACGAGAAATTGTTTAGGCCGTCTCTATTGTAAATAGAAGTGCTGAAATCATGGTTTCACCGCACTCGTCTTTCATCCCTGCACTGCCACCATAATGAGAACTTGGGGATAATGACTTAAGGGGGGAAAACGGGCTGGATTAAGAAGGACAGTAAATTAGGCATTTATTTCTCTCCATTGGAGACCCACTTCCTGCTTGTTTCTGAGTTCTAGATGAAAGTCAGCTGCACCACCTATTTCCCAAGGCCAAACTGACCATCAAAGGCAGCCTTGAAGTAGGCCAGTCATTTTATGATATTGCACAGAGAATCCTGTTTTCCCAGAAGGCTGGGGGTAAGGTCTATTAGCAAAAATGAAGAGGGATATGGTAGTGCAGTGATGGTGAAATCTTTGGGCTCGGTGTGTCAAAAATTCAGAAAATGTCTAACTTTAGTCTGCTGATGTGTCACCCCCACCTGACCTCAGACAAAAGACAAACAATTCATAACAAACAACAATAAATTTAATTCATCATCATTCTAGCAATTGTCTATCTACTGCAATATGAAGGCTTCTTCTGCATGTTTCCAACCAATACGGTCCTAAGCTTTCTTTTGCCAATTGGGTCTGCAATACTTACTGACGTCATCAATCCATCTTGTTTTAGGTCTCTTTTGTGGATGCTTTTTTATTGAGTGGGATGGGATCCATTTTTAATTGCCTTATTCCGCCTGCTATCAGGTCTTCTTCTAAAGTGTATGATATCATCAAGAGAGTAAACGAATTGAAATGGAAATGGGCTGGCCACATAGCAAGAAGAAAATTATTTAAATATATTATTTAATAAATAAATAAAAACTTACATCATTGTAAATATTTTTCTGAATGCCTAGCTGAGGCAGCTCTGGGTTGCATGAGGCCTAGAAACGTCAAGAATGCTCTTGCACGGCCTTGCAGCCTCTGAAAAGAGCAGGAAAGCACACACCGTTTTATGTACCTTTTGGAGCCTCCTAAAGAACAGGGCTCTCTTGTGTGATTCCCAGAGAGTCCAGAGGCCTGGCAAGTCACAAAAATGACATGGCTTGTCATTTTTGTCATGGCTTGTCACCTGTGGGATGCATGTCTTAGGTTTGCCATCACCATACTAGTGTCTGGTCACTGTGTATCTAGCCCAGGGATAAAATTAAAGTTTCTAAGCTTTTATTTTATTTTATTTTATTTTATTTTATTTTGCTGTACTTTCTGCATAGTGTTAGACTTTATAATACCATAAATTCTGTATGCTCTGAGTGGGAGAGGACGGAGGAGTGGTGTGGTGGCCTAGAAGTGGAGCTCTTGCCTCACAATCAGGAGGCTGTGAGTTCGATCCTAGGTAGAGGCAGATATTTCTCTCTCTGGGCACAATGAGAATATATTTGCTGAACAAAACTCTGCATTGACAACAGGAAGGGCATCCAGCCATTAAACACTCTGCGAGCTCCATTCAGTTGCCCAGATTCTACCCCACAAGGGATTATGGGGTCTTTAAAAGAAAAGAAGATTAGTGGGAGAGGACGGAGGATGGTGGTTTTCACTCTGCAATTGTTCTATAGCTACTCTTTTTTTATTATTATTAAAAAGTTTTATCAAATATTACAACAATTTTTTCCCATCCCTCCTCCCCCCCTTCCCTCCTCTACCCCCCCCCCATCCCTCATCCCCCTTCTCCCCTCCAACCCCCCTCCACCCCCACCCACCCTGGACTTCCCAGAGCAAATACAGGGTATAACATTTAACAAACATAAACTAAAATATGCTAACTTTCTGCAAGCTCCATACTCCCTCTTGCTCTTTAACTCCCCTTTCAACTAACAAAACATAATTCAAAAAGAAAATGTTGGTTTCATTCATAAGCTATTTGAAACATTTTAGTCTGATACTTGTTTTGAATATAGTCAATCCATCTTTTCCATTCCGATATATATCTTTCATTTGAATGGTCCTTCAAATATGCTGAAATTTTTGCCATCTCTGCTAAATCACTACTTTTAATGTCCATTCTTCAATAGTAGGTAAGTCTTCCTTCTTCCAATACTGCGCCACCAAAAGTCTGGCTGCTGTTATTAAATTTAAAATCAATTTAGTCTCTATGACCGTACAAACTGTAATTATACCTAACAAAAAGAACTGTGGAGTAAATTTTATCTTCTTTTTGAGAATGTTTTGAATAATCCACCATATTTTTATCCAAAATGCCTTAATTTTTTTACATGTCCACCATATATGATAATACGTGGCATCATCACATTCACATCTCCAAAACTTAGGTTGCAAACTTGGATACATACAGGCTAGCTTTTTAGGATCTAGATGCCATCTATAAAACATTTTATAAAAATTGTCTCTTAAATTTTGGGCTTGCGTAAACTTTACATTTCTAATCCATATTTTTTCCCACGTTTCCATCATTATTGGTTCTTCAATATTTTGTGCCCATTTTATCATACAATCTTTAACTAGCTCTGTTTCTGAATCTATTTCTACCAATGCATTATACAACCTTTTTATATGCATTTGACTTTGGTCTCTAATTTGTTTTACCAAGTTCTCCTCATTTTGCGAGATACCAATTTTCTGATTTTCTCTCCATCTAGCTTGCAGCTGTCCATACTGAAACCATGTTTGAATTATCCTTTCTTCTCTTAATTGATTCAGAGGTTTTAGTTGTAATATACCTCCTTCCTTATTAAGAAGCTCTTTATAAGTAAACACATCTTGTTTTTGCTCTATACTTGTATTCTCTATTGCGTGTCTGGGTATTGCCCACATTGGTAACTTATCGTTTAATTTATACTGATACTTTATCCAGACACGCAGTAAAGCATTTCTTAATATATGACTTTTAAAAGTCTTGTCCACTTTCTTATCATATAATAAATATTTATATTCTATTTTCTCGATGGTCCGTGACTCTTGTTTTTTCCTTAACAGATATTTATTATTCGAATTTCTATACCGCCCTTCTCCTTTCGGACTCAGGGCGGTGAACAGCCAAAGATATGCTAACCATCTCCCTGGTTTATTAGCATTGCAAAAAGTATTAGGTTTAGCATATTGAAAATTAGTTGTGACCTGATCTGCCATTAGCATGTTAAATTGCCCTCACAGTAAGTTAATTGCCTCTTTTATTTTCTTGTCTGCTGGATTCAATATCAAAGCCTGTTCTTTTTTTAAAATTTCCTCTTCTAAGTCCTTCCTTTTTCTTTCCTTTTTACGTCTATGTTTATTATTCAAATATATCAAGATACCTCTCATGTATGCTTTACTTGCATCCCAAACCATTTCCATAGATGTACCCTTATGCATATTTATAATGAAAAATTCTTTCATAAATTTTTTACATTCTTTTACATTTTCTTCATATCTAAACAGATTTACATTTAACCTCCAAGACCTCTTAAATCCCATTCCATACTCTAATTCCATCCAAACTGGACTGTGATCCGTTAAAACTCTTGGGCAGATCTTCATCTTCTTCACCCTAGAAAAAAGATCATTAGTAATTAATATGAAATCAATCCTAGAGAAAGATTGATGTCTATCGGAAAAAAAGATAAAGTCTTTTTCTTCAGTGTTCCTCTCTCGCCAGATATCTCTCAACTCCATATCATCCATCATTTCAAAAAAAGACTTTGGCAATCTGGCCCGCGCTGAGATACTTTGCAAGAGCCCCTTTTTATCTTTTTTAGTGTCCAAAACTCCATTCCAATTGCCCAATAAAATGCATGATTTATAATCCCATTGTAGTAACTTGGAATGTAAAAGCTTATAAAATTTTTCCTGTTGTTAGTTCGGTGCATATACTCCAATTAAAAGTATTTTTTCTCCTTTTATTAAAAGTTCAATTGCTATGAATCTTCCTTGATCATCTGCTTCAATTAATTTGGCAATTAAGTCTTTTTTTAGGTATATAACTATACCATTCTTCTTCTCGGGAGCAGATGCAACAAAATGTATACCTAACCTTGCATTTATTAAATATTTTTGATCTTTGCTTCTAATATGAGTCTCTTGTAAACAGATTACATCATTTTTAAACTGTTTCAAATAATGAAATATTTTTCTCCTCTTTTGTGGTGAACTTAGGCCATTAAAATTCCAAGTCAGAAATCTAGTTGCCATTCTTGGCTCCCTGAAGCTTTTGGAGCATCTGCTGGAAATCTCCATGCATTTTGCTTTTTGGCCTTGCTCCTCCCACTGCTTCTGTTTTTGTAGTTTCTTGAATCATCTGAAGTTGCTGCACTCTTAATTCTTCTTGATGCTTGGCTGCCGCTTGGGTCAACTCTTTGATCCTTAGGTTCTTCTATGTCCAAGGCTTGAACAGTAGTCAAAAGTTGTGTTAAATCTTCTTGAGTAATCAAAGCTCCCCTTTGGGCCTATGCCAACAATTCTTCCTTCTCCCCCTTTCTTGCCCCCTCTGCTTCCGTCTTCCTTCTAGCTTCTGGGGACTGTGGTCGTCCAGCCTTTAGTACATTGGTGTAAAAATCTCTTGCCTTCCACACTGAGTTAAGACGATATCTCTCTCCTGAATAGTTCACCACTAGTCAGCTGGAACCTCCTATCTGTACTGTATCTGACGGTTTCTCAGTTCTTCCACCAGAAAGGCATAATCCCTTCTGGCTCTCAGCATTTTGGGGGGGATTTCTTTCAGTATTAAAACCTCCTGCCCCTGCACTTGAAGT